AATATTTTGATTTGCTCTGTTACCACTGGGTGCAGAGCAGAGGCAGCCTGGCCACCTTGCACCTCTATATCAGTTCAGTTCACAGGAGATCTGGGACGAGGATGAGGATTTCTAATTTTTTGTTGAAGTGCATGTTGTTATTTTATTCTTGTGTTGCTGCTAAAATGATCTTTCTGCAAAGTTCCTCAATTCTTCTTTCATCTCGACTAATTCACTCTTGTGGTACTGTCTTCTATCAGCCTATTTAAATAATGTTTTAACATTAACAATAATAATGGATACCAAGATAATGTTCAATCTTCAGGACAGGTTTTAAAGTGTTTGCTGTTGAGTTATTCAGTGTTCATGCAAAACACGACACTGCATGTCATATACATACACCTGCACAAATGCCTACATCCATATAGCCATTGCTTTATGCAGACAAAGTTTCAGCAAGGAGGCCTGTGAGAACACAGGGCAGCCATGCTTCCTTGCATGTTGAGCAAGAAGAGGGCTGTGTGGGTTTAGTTTTCATCAAGGAATAAGGAAGTGGTGTCTGGTACCAACATCTGCCAGTTGCACTGGCTGATGGCCCTGGTGAAGCTGAGTTCGTGGGTGCACCACACCTCAATTTGGGGTCCCTGGGATCCTCAGACCCTCATGGCTGTGGGTGTTTGAGATGTGAGGAGCACTCCTGCTTCAGCCTTATCTGTGTTGCGAAACTTGCACGCATTCCAATTGTCAACCCATCCCCCCCATGCCCACTAATCACGTCCCTCAGTGCCACATCCATATATTTCTCAAACACCTCCAGGGATGGTGACATCACCACCTCCCCAGGGCAGTGCCTCATCACCCTTTCTGAGAAGAAATGTTTCCTAATATCCAACCTGAACACAACAATATTCAACCTTGGCACGGCTTAAGACCATTCCCTCTCATCCTACTGTTGCTACATGTGAGCATAGGTCGACCTCCATCTCCCCATAGCCTCCTTTCAGGCAGCTGTAGAGAGCAATAAAGTCACTCCTGAGACTCCTCCTCACCAGGCTGAACAATCCCAATTCCCTCAGCCACTCCCCATAAGACTTGTGCTCCAGACCCCTCACAGCTCTCTTGTCCTCTGGAAGGGCAGTTGCTGCTGTGGACTTTGGCTCTGGGTGCAGGTGAGGAATATTACCAGGAACACACATTTACCAGCTGCTTTCCCTTCCAGCCTTCTCCTGGGTCATCCATGGTACCAAAGGACATGACTTTTGTAACTGCCAAGTAAAAGTCCCCGAAATTTTCAATGCCCTCTTAGTTGCGCTGCCAATCCCACATCCTTGCAAGCTGGCTGAGGCTGCTCCTGGCCCTAAAGCACACCAGCTCACAGCCCTCCACTGTGCACAGTTCTTCTTAGAGGTCATTGTCACACTTTATGTGAAGTTGCCACCGTGTTTTCTACAGCCACCAGCAAATAGAGTGAAAATCACAGCTCAATGATTTGTGAGTGTGATGACACATCAATGTGGGCACGCCGTGCTGCACCAGTGCTGGTGGGTGGACAAGGGCCCCAGAGAGGACCGTGTGGAGGGCTGCAGTGCATGGGCTGCTCACCCAGCTGGCAGAAGTGCTGTGGGAAGGTCGTGGCTGCAGCATGCCATGAGATCTGATGTTGCAAAAGAGCTGTGCAGAAAGCAGCTGGGTGGCATCACGGTGTTCTTTTGTTACACCCTTCCCACAGGCCTGGCCCAAGCCCGGGGAGATCAACCGGGATTTTCTGAGTGGCAGCGAGGAGATTTGAGTCAAACTTCCGCAAGCACTCAGAAAACATTAGCGTGGCTTTCACAGCACCGAGCAGCAGGGGGAGGCTGCGGCAGAAGTTCTGGTGGGGACGGGCCTACAGCACGGGCAGGCGGTGCGGGGTGGGGACGGGTGTGGGGAGCGGCCCGGCCGTCCCTGCTCCTCCTGGCACGGACGAGGCAGGCGCTGGCTGCGGCTGTGTGAGGGCTTGGCGGCTGAGTCAGGGCCTTGCCCGCGCCTCTCCCTGCCCACTCCTCCCACAGACCCACCTGCCATGCGCTGTGTCAGGACTTGGGCAACCCACCCGCAGCCATCATTGGGTGTGCAGGGTCTCCCCTGGGTTTACTGGGTCAGCCTCTGCTCCCGGGCAACAGTGACAGGACAAGAGGGAATGGCCTCCAGTTGTACCAGAGGGGGTTCGGGTTGGATATTAGGAAAAATTTCTTCTCAGAAGGAGCGGTGAGGCAGTGGAACAGGCTGCCCAGGGAGGTGGTGCAGTCACCAATTAGTGGGCATCATGGTGAGATGGACTGATGGTTGGGCTGCATAATCTTGGCCTTTTCCAACCTTAATAATTCCATGATTCTGCCGAGATATGCATTGGAGGGGTGCTTCTCCCAGGCAGGCAATTGGGCAGTTTCCTTGTTACACCACAGCCACAACGAGGAGCAAGGGGAAGGGCCAGCAGGGCAAGGAGTGTTCCTTTATGAAGAGGATAAATAGATTTGTTTCAGAAGTACAATAAAGTCTTGGTTTAGTGTAGGAAGTAGAGGTAACTGTGGCATGTAGAAAATCAAACCATGCAAGTGAGAGCAGAGGTCCACCTCAAGTTGGTGGCATGCTTCCCAGCCCTCTGCTGCAGGGTGATTTGGGGTAATACAGTATGAGTGGTCGACAGACGTGTGTCTACAGGGTCCCTGCTTCGCAGAGGGGCTGGGATGCCTGTGCTCACTCTGATCTGGTGTGGATCCACAGGTTGACATTAGGTCAGGGTAGTAATTTGAAAAATGAAATGCAATTTCAGAGCATCCCACCACTGGTCTGTTTTGTGTCTTTGGCATCCAAGGCTGCTGGGATCAGGTCAGTAGACAAACAAAACTGAGGCTGCAGGGGGCTGGGTTCAGAAGAAAGAGAGATGGAGGAGGATATGCAGTAGGGTTGGAGCCAATGTCTGTTTTGTGTAATGGGAGCGGAACATGTCAGACACAGAGCTGGTCAGGGCTCTTCCTTATGTGATGGGAAAGCAAGAGGGGGGATTTGAGGAGGGCTTCTCCAGAGGCCCTGAAAAATCATTTGGCAACTGGGCCAATTTAAGCAATCTTTGCCCCAGGCACAACAAAGGGGAAAATCGCAGGGTGGGGATGTGCAGCCAGAGATGGGCAGGGACAATTAAGCCAGTTACTAGCAAAGAAACTTGCTGAACTGCCATGGGGTGGTGGCAGTGCCAGCACAGCGTAAATTTCTGGTCACTGGTAGAGCAGAGACTTCAGAGACCCTGGCTGTGAGTGATGGTGTGGGAGCAACAGCAGGCACAGTGGAGGGCTGTGAGCTGGTGTGCTTTAGGGCCAGGAGCAACCTCAGCCAGCTTGCAAGGATGTGAGACTGGAAATGCAACTTAGAGGGCACTGAAAATTTCAGGGACTTTTACTTGGAAGTTACAAAAGTCAGATGATGTTCTAGATAAAGGAGTGCGCGATCAAGGATGCACAGTAGCGTGATGAGAAACATCACAGCCAAACACAACTCAGTCACAACTGATCCTCCCCGCTGAGGCAAGAAATTCATACAAGTGCAGCCTTGGATAAGCTCTGGCTCCCATCCATGGTGCAGGAATCAGCACATTTGTTTCCGACTCACCCAGGTGCCAGGGCAATGGAGAAGGGCTGTTTGTGCTGACACTGTATCAGGTACTCCTCACGTGAAACAGCCAACCAACCCAAACCCATTTACAGCACAACCTGTGCTGATGCACAAAGCAGCACGTATGCTCATTTTTTTCATTTAAGCATTGCCCATTTATCCAGGCTTAAACTTACAACAGATATGGAGCTGGTATTCTTGAAAAATCCAACTACTAGAACAAAAAACACTTTTTGAAATTTTTGTAAATGGACAATGAAAATATCATATACAGAGTTATGTCCAGTTTGGGGTCTAATAGGCATGTCCTTCATAAGAAACCTCACCCTCCATCTGAGGAGAACATAGTTGCCTTAAGATGTTTTCTAGTTTTTACTGACGTCCAGCACAGGTCTATTTAATTTGATCACAACATGATGAGATGAGACATGATCATACATAATCATTAACCAATCTCCATTCCTATTCCCTGTATGGTATGTGATTCACAGCATGACCAGGATGAAAGTCCACAGCTAGGGCTGCCCTGTGCAGTACAACTCTGGACCAAATGTAGTCTCATTGCACCCTGAGCCCAGCATAGCATGAAGCCTGAACTCTGTCTTTGTTCTTTAACAGAATGATGGAGGGGAATTTGCTGAGCAGGAGTGGTGAGGCACTGCCCAAACCTTGAACTTGCCCATTGTAAAGAAACAGAGCCATTGAAGTAAATATGTTTAGACCATTGTCACAGCCATACGTGGAACCCATGCTGCTTGGAGAAACCACAAGGCTATCAGCAACTATACAACCATGCAGACAAAGTTTCATGCCCACTTTTTCACTCTCTAGCTTGCTGGTAGAAATATGCAGAAGACTGTCAATAATAGATTTTCATAACAGTGATTGGAAAAGAAACTACTGTGAAGGCAGGGAAGTTGAGGAGTGTGCCAGAAGAAGAGAATGGCAACCAAAATCCATTCTCTGAGGACAGAGTTGACTCCAGCTATTTTCTCTCTGTTGCTTGGCCCTGCACCCTGTTAAGATCTACATTAAGCAAGAACAAGCCTGAAGCCATTTATAGTGTGGACACACACACACAAAGTAAAAGTCTGATGTGACAGACAGAGAACTTAAAACTGAAGATGGTTTATGCATTAAGTGCAGTCTGCTCCTAGTGACACATGTAGCATCTCTTTAGAAAAGTAGCTCTGCAACACAAAAGCAGTGAGGTTCATTTGCACTAGTATTAAAAAAAAAAAAAAGAACAACTCTGAGGACAGTGCACTCATGACATACTCTGGTGAAAAGTGAGATGCAAAACAGGAGAAGCACACATAAAACAGCATAATTAGGGTCCTCTACTATACCCACCTCTTTGACATTTCCGGATTCTTTGCTTTCAACAGCACATCTATCCCAAAACCCCATCCTCCTGAGCAGACAGGTTGTGTGCTTACCTCCATTATGGGGGACAACAGAATTAGGGCATCAGTGCTCTGGGTGGGAACGAGCAGCGTACAAGCCATGCACACTTCAGATGCAGAGTCCCTGCTCAAAAGCAGCCTTTCATAAGCACTTGTCTGGCTTAAGCTCTCACTAGCATTCATATATAGACTCTCACTTCATTGCCAAAGTTTAAAGTGTTTGCCTTTTATTCAGAAGACTTTCTCCATTTCCAGTGTTTAAGATACTTTCCCATGTCTTCCAGAACAAAGAGCCCCTAGTTTCATAACAACACCAGTCTACCACAAAAGAAAAAAAATAGCTAACAAAAGCAAAAGGTTCAATGATGTGATAAAGCATAAAGAAACAAATACAGCAAATGCATTAGAGAAATAAACATGTGCTAAGTGGAGTATTTACATAAAATTACGTATGTTTCTATAAAACTGGCAGCATGCAATGAAAAGATTAACAGGAATACTTATACTGGGTCTGCTAGTTGTCAAAAGCAGGTCTACTTGGACTGCACCTGTATTGCTGTGCTGCTTTTAGGCACAGCACTGCACTCAGAAGCTAGCTACCCCAGTTCTCCACACTACCTGTGGTGGGATTTCACACAGCCCCACAGCCAGAAGTGCAGATGCAGGTGCCTCAAGCTACACATCCAGGCTCAAGCAGTGCTTGCAAAGCTGTAAAGAAGTGGCCTACTGCTATTTCCTCTCTATGAATATGGTATTGCAGGGTCCATCTGCAATTACCTGCTTAAATAAAGCACAGAGTCAGTTGCTTACTGTAACACCTTAAGTAACATGGAATCTTAGATTTTACAAAAATACTTTAATTTTCTGTTCACAATTAAAAACTATCTTTATTACAAAACAGTTTGAAACATTAGCACATCTAGCTTGGAAAGACTTTTGTTCTTATTGCTGTTGCATAGCGTTTTCAAGGAACCAGCACAAAGGCACTAGTGCACTTGTCATAGTCAACTTGTAAGGATATCAGTAGGAAAATACACTTTCCTATTTAATCCTCATAACTTTCAAATGTTTAAGCTGCCTTTTTTTTTTCCCCCTCAGCAGGTGCATTACTGACACCTGTCACTACACATCTAAATCTCCCCCAACATAAGCTGTTCAGTATAACAAATTTTATTTGCAGCCTTTAGACAAAGAACGTTCACTCTTTTCGGAGTGAATACCAGCACTGACACCACCTTAGCTACTTGTGAATCCTATAACTGTGTTCTGACAGCTATCAGATATTAACTCATTCATTTCATTTTGTTTGGTTTCTTCTTTATTCTCATGGTTGGGGTGGTGTTTCTGATTTCCAGCTTTTCTAGACCTTCTGAGAAAAAATTTTGTCAGTAAATAACATAATTCAGCCACATTTAAAAGAATGCAAATGCTGGACACAGCAATCATGAAAATAGTGAACACTGTCTTTTCAGTAGGTCGAGAAACAAAGCAGTCTACTGTGTTGGGGCAGGGCCAAGCACTACATTTCATTAAGCGAGGCATTCGGAACCCATCATACATGAAATAGAATGCATACATGAAGACTGCTTCAAAGACCAATCTGAAGAAGATACTGCAAGTGTATGTCCACCACAGGGTGCCCTCAATACGAAACTTCTGGGTTCTGATTTCTTCAATGTCCTTATACTCGCATTTTTGGTCTCCCTTTCTGAACTGCCTTTTCTTCTCGTGCCTCCTGTAAGCCACATGCATGGCCACCAGCAGAGCAGGGGTAGAAACGAAGATCAGCTGCAGGGCCCAGAGTCTGATGTGAGAGATGGGGAAAAAGTGATCATAGCAAACATTCTTGCAACCAGGTTGCAAAGTGTTGCAGATAAAGTCATCTTGTTCATCTCCCCAGACTCTCTCTGCAGCCACAACCAGGATCATGATACGGAAGATGAACAGGACTGTGAGCCATATCTTCCCAATGCTGGTGGAGTGTTTATTCACACCTCCTAAGATGGTCTGCAGAGCTCCCCAATCCATTGTCTTGTTTTAAAGGTATTACCTAAGATGAGACAAAAAGAAAAAGATTCATCAGGATAGGAAAAAAAAATACTATTAAGCATAGGGTATAAAATAAAGGCAACATTGTGAATATAATTGCAGTACATTCATAGGCTGTGGTGACATCTTGTTGACACAGTGGTCTTTCTCATAAGCAGTCAAAGTGGCACAGTAACCACATATCAGCAGGTGACATTTTGTTGCTCGACAACAGGGAAGGAATCCTTCTGACTGCTAGGCGTATTTGGCAACTGAAAACTTCTATCCACATCAGTAAGAAAAAGTAGACAAGGGAAATTGGTAAAAAATGACCTTATTTAAAAGCTACAATTTCTAGAAGCTTTGATAACAGGAGCAAAGAACAGAAGATGATATCAACAGTCAAAAGCGAAGTAGGTGTTATGGTGAAATGTAACCAGAATGAGAGGTTCCTCAGAGCCTCTGAATTCTTAAGGTAAACAGGAAGAAGCAGGTGGTGAGGTGGAAGCATCGTTGTAAAGTTACAGAAAATCAAAGAAACTGAAAAACAAAATCTGTATGGTCATTTAGTTACTTTATTTGAGAAGAAAAAAGCTAAACTTATTAGGAAGTTAAGACAAGTTTGCGCATCCTTGGCTTCAGGGCATAAGCAACATTTTCATGAGTACATTATTCCAGCAATAAAGACAGACCTTGAGGAGCTGCTGTGGAAGCTCTGCACCTTACATGAGGAGGCCTGCACTGCCTGCCTTAGAAAATATTAAGGATGTGGCTGTATGGCTTTCTGCATTGTTGCTGAAGAGAAAGCCACAATTTCATGAGGGAATAGAGGTGAAATCTTGTCACAATCTGTTTTCTTATCTTGTTTAAAATCAGCACGATGAGGTTCATCCAAAATTGTGTTTCTCTCCACTAACTAAGACAGCGTAGGGTACTTAGACATGAGACATATTCCCATCCCCATCCAGATGACCTTGCCTTGTAACAGAAGTACATTACTCCTCAAACAGGAGAGAAGCTTCAGAAGCTGGGAGAAAGCCAAAGTCAACAGACCAGCAGAAGCTCAGAAACTCTTCAACAGAAAGAGCATTTCCAGTAGTTGGGATTCAAAGCATCATGACTGTAAAGCTAAAATCCTTTGATTCGTTATCTGCCCCATACCTCTCCAGGAACACTGCAGCTGTTTGTGGAAGCTGAGGAAATCCACACAACAGGCATTTGCAGCTGGCATAAAGAAGCACTTCACACCCCTACTCCCTTCCAATGAATTTACTGAGAGGTAATTTGCATATTACTCTGAAATTAAGAAAACATTTCTTGTGCCCGTCAGGCAGAAGTGCTCCTCAACCTCTTTGCTCTGAAGTTTCTTGTCAAGAGGTTGATTTCTCAAATTTGTGAATTTTATCATCTCTCAGAGATCATCTTACTTTGGCAGTTGCAGCACAGGGCATTTAATAAACAAAAAACACTTCTCCAGAGGTTCTAGAGAACAGCTCTGTTGTCACTGGCAAAGGCCACTACATCTTTTGTGATGTAATTACGGTTTTTATCAATTCTGAGATAGCTGCAGAGACATACCTTCCTTATCTTCTTTGTGCAGTGTGACCCAACTTCTGCATCACACTTCCATTTTGAGCACTGTCAAAACCCTCCCTGCTTTCTAACAGAGTTACATATACTCATGAATCACATACAATAATACAAAGCATCAAAGAACACGACAGCTCTAGCAAAATGAAGAAGTCTGATCATGATGTGAACAAAGGGTTTTTTCTTTCCTGGCTTATTGGAAGGTTCTGGTTGCAGAAAACATGTACTACCAGGTCATCTCGGATGACTGCGGGGGTTACTTCATGAGCTGAAAGAGTGGGATGGAAGAAGGGCAAGATTTTCTTGAGGTTGTAAGAAACCTTTCCCGATTCTGACTCTCCTTTGGGATGCAGTGTGAGATATTACCTCTGCATCTGTCTGAAAAGAGTCCTGGTTGCAGAGCTGCCTTCCTATCATGTTTTATTTTCCTCCCAAACATAAACTGTATACTTCATCAGCATATGGATACAGAAGAAGTCTCTACAGGTTAGCACATGAGAGCACGGGAAGGACTCTGAACACCAGAGATACTTACAAAACAGTCAGATTTTAAAACATTTGACTCTATCCCCCTTTTTGCCATCTTATTTTAAATTGATCAGATCACGGTTTTTTTTTTGTTTTTTTTTTTTTTTTGTTTTTGTTTTTCTTTTTCTTTCTTTCTTTTTTTTTTTTTTTTTTAAAGAGGATTTGTTCTGGAGATCATCATATAATCAAACTGAAGCAGAGGAAAAGTTACAGCTTTACTACTGATATTCATGTTCTCTTACTAACGCGCACATTGCTATTATGGAACTAATGATGTGACACGCACTGTGTGACATAACACTGATTAGAAGTACCTTCATGCACCACAGTTCTAAGTCCTAGGGAAGACAGTTACTGCATGAACTGCAGCATTACACCTCATCTCCCACCCTTTAAGTATAACAAATTGTGTTTCATCTGTTCCCTCTTTGATCAGCCATCTCCATAAATATGAAAGAATGAGAAGGGGGAACTGCATACTCCCTCCTCATAAGCCCCATTTTTAATGCTTTCTTGCCTTGCTGTAAACCAATACTGCTGCCTTTCTGTTGCTTCCCAAGAATTTGCTTCTATGTACAATTGCACCTTCCTGTCTCCCTGTGCAGAATGAGATACCAAAATACAAGTGCCTCAGGGTGTACTTAAAGGATACCCTGTCTTTAGTGGCAGGGCTAGATACAGACACTTCCCCATCATTGCTTGTTCCTGCTGCAGTTCTCCATCCTCCGCAGCACTGTGAGGGTACATTATAACCCAGAACACCCAATTGGTTTGTTTAGAAGTTATTCCCAGTGCTGGTACATTGCTTTTTTCCAACCTTACCCATTTCCATGATCTGCTTTAGCACACAGCTCCACAAACCATTTGGAAAGAGTGTCATTTTGAAACAAGCTGCACACTGCAAAGAATCAGAATGAGCAGCTAGTGAAGAAGAGGGTATTGCCCTTAGCAGGGATGCTTCTTCAAGATATTGTTAAACTACACCATTCACCTGACTGTTCCATTTCCATTGAGAGCATATTATGTTTCAACCCTAGCAAAACTATGTCTGTACCTGGATGCAAGCAGAAAAAGCCACTGCACTTCAGAGAGGGAGCTGTTCCTAGTCTGACTTGATGGGCAAGTAAAACAGGACAGCCTCCCAGGGCCATCTCCACTCCTTCCCAAAACCCTTTGACTTTCATATCCACCCAAACATTCCCCTCTTCACCATTCCCACCCACCTTCCAACTCCTCCAGCAACCTCTCTACTCCTCCTGCCACCATCCCATTCTTCCTGCTGCTTGCTGAGCTAGTCACCAACCTTTGCCCCTCCTTGTTCTACCCTCATGGCCTGACTTGCTTTTATGCTAGCAGAAAGGCATGTGACTTCTGAGGAGTTCAGGAGACTGATATACACAGTGATCATCAGATACTGCACTCAGTGAAGTTCTTGAAGAGCAGAACAGCTGAGATTGCAGGGCCATATTCCTACCCAGATACTCTGGACCTGGTTTTCCCAGACTTTTAATATTAGATACTCTAAACTGTGTTACTGAGAGATAAAGGCAATTCATAAACCACTGAAGTGCCCACCTTTCATCCAATAAGTAGAGAGTGACCAAAGCAGAATGTAAGTTAACTGAGTACGGCCCTTCACAGATCACTCCATCCAGACATCACGTTGGGGCTATCTGTAGTGATGTGATGTCTGATTTACTCCTAGCTTATTCTATAGGGATGTGATGCCTCATTTACTCTTAATTTACTAAAAAAAAGTATGGTGCTGACTCCCCATTGCAGGTTATCTTTCTTTCAAATACTTGCTTTCCAGACCTCCTTACTACTAAGTAAAATATTAACTGTCTGGCTGAACAATGGAAACTAAAGCAGGAAAGGGACTTCCCTTTGATGGCTGCTAACTCTTACAGATAATTGTGTGAGCCAATCCACCTAAATGCACACAGAAATTACAGTGTGTAGATAGTATTTGTTCATCTCAGAAGTAAAGCTCTGGACAGGAATAAGTTAAGACATGAAAACCCAGGTGAAATTGGGACAAAAAAAAAAAGTACAGTGGGAATAGGGACTGAAGATAAAGGAGGAAGATGAGAACAGAAGATAAGCCAGTAAACTTGAGTAGCTGAGCATCTAGACTGCATTTTAAAATGAGAGTGCATTTTAAAATGTAACGAAACAAATTAATGATCTGTTCTTCTATTGGCTGAACCTTCTGTTCCTCCATCTGAGAAATCAGAGGAGCAGGACAGCACAGCTACTACAGCAGGAGATAAAAATGATCCTGAGATGTCACCACTCTCAGCCAAAGACCTAGCAGTGCAGAAAATGGTTCTACATGACTACACAACACATGGAGAGGCACACAAGTGTTCTTCCCCTAGTGGGCTCAGGTATTGTAAGTAGGCTAGACAGCAGGACAAATACAGCTTACCTATTTCTGCAGTTCTCCAGCTACTGGGCAGGTTTTGAGCTCTGCACTGCCAGGACTGCTTACTGCTTAAACTAGTTGCTGCCAACCTGCATTAAACAACAACCACAGCACCCTGCATGCACCCACTAAAATCCCCACACATCACACCATCACCAAGCACTTCAGGCACACAGCTACTTAGTAGGTGTTTTTGCTCTGCTCTGGTAAGGACTGGTATACCAGATAATCGTTAGTCAATGGTTAAATCCATGGCTTCAGCAAACCACAGAGTGCAGAGCAAAGGTAGAAACAACATAAGCTGCATCGCTTTGATGTACACACTGTGGAACTTACTGTTATAGGATATTAACAAGGCAAAAAAGTCATGTTGGAGGCACTATAGGAACATCTAAGAATTCCAGTCAGGAGGTGGCCCACAGCATGTATAAATTCAAAAACTACACACTCCTCCACTATGGACCAGTCTATTATTCTAAGGGAACCAAACAGAAATGCAGAGGTTGTTCACAACGTCTCCATTCCTATCAGAATTTCAGTGTAGGGTACCAGCAGCCACCAGTGCAAAGTACACTGCACCACTTGCAGTAGTGCCTCCAGATACTGGTATAAGATCAGCAGTCTGCGGAGACAGATGTCACTTCATCCAACCTAGGAGTGCATTAGCTGAGATAATCTTTAAACAAAAGGTACTGGTCCTGATCAGAGCTGGAGATAAAGAAGGAACTCAGAAGCCTGAGAGCAGCAGCTTCTACACAGAACAGTGTTGTCAGGATGGAGTCTAGGAAGCTTCTTATAAATATATATTAGATCAATATCTTCCAAAGACGGCATCCCTTTATCTCAGCAGGGAAGGCCAGCACACAGGCGACAACACTTACCTGCTGACTCTCCCAGACTGTCTACTTAAAGTTAAGCCTACCCCACACCTTAGTTCCCCAGACATTAAATGAGATAACAAAATCTCACTTTCTCACAGGGTTGTTCTGAAGTGCTCCTCTATAACTGGACACTTCAGAGAGTCATACTTCATTATCAGTGGACCAAGAGTGATAAGCACTATTTCAAAGTTGAAATACAGAGCTTAAATTGAACCGTTCAGAACACTCGTTACTTAAGAGAGAACACAGCTCTTCCCATTACAACAGCTGCAGTGTAGAGTTCACTCTGTAAGATGCGGCTTTGAACTCTGACTTGGGCAAACCGAAATCCTTTCATTTCACTATTATAAGAAGCTTCCAGCTATTTCAATTTTACTGCAGTATATTAAAAATGTAGGAGTGCTTCAACTGCATGCTCCTTCAAGAATCAACAGCTCTACTAAGAAGTTGAATAAGGATCAAAAGATCAGTCTAATAATCCCAAAAGCCCGTGCAGCTCTCAAGCTTTGTTCTGAGCACCTATCTCCACATCAGAGTGGAAACCGGAGAGCAACAGAAGACCCAAGACAGATAGGAGTTACAGTATATCTGATTTGACACAAGAACAGGCCAAGACTAATCAGGAACAGGAAACCTCTGACAGTTGCAGGTCTGAACACAGCAAGCATTGTGTTTTCTTCTACTCAAGAATATGCCAACAGGATACATTGTTTGCTCTAAGCCTCATGTTAAAAAATATATAGCCTTTAAAATAACACATCACAACCCAATATGTATGAAGTTTAATATTAAAAATATATGCTAAGTAAAAAACAAGAGCATTGAGGATTCAGCCCCACACTGACCACGTTATGAATACCCTATGTTCATGCCCTTACATCCTCCTAAGCCATTTTCCAAGCAGATTTGGAAATATCCATGGCTATTTCACTACCCTACAACTGTAAGTGGAGAATTACCATCCTCCATGCAGAGAATACCTCTGCATGAAATTCACTCCACTTGTGGAAAATAAGACATCAGAAAGGTTGGTCATGTTTGAAGGTATAACAAGACTGAAGAATTCCTACTGGAATTTGGCCCCTCGGCAATTTTTGAAGGAAAGGTTTGCAGGGGGAAGAAAAACAGTGCTTAAAAGCCCTTGCTTTGAAAGGGATTCAAATTCCTGAGGACTATTTCTTCACTGATGCGAGTGTCCTATTTCCCAAACTCTAAATAAAGTTTTACATGCGCTTTGCATTCCCCCAGACACAAAAGTAGCAGTATTATTTGTCTGGGTTTGTAAAAGATAACAAAAATCACCAGGCTTAGGCATACATCCATATTCTTTCTACAGATTCACCATGTGTTCCTGGAAATACACCCACTCCCACCTCACAGGATTTCTGACTGGCAGATTACTTCCTCAGAGAGGGCTTGAACCCTTATGGAAACATTATCACTATTTTATAGTGAAATGTAGCTTTTCCTTCAGTGTGTGTTTTGTCAGTATTTCTTTCTGTGAAGGTAGAGATAAAAATCAACTTTCTCCTTTTAAAAGTATCTATGGCAGGAAGAACTACATATGAGATACAAAAAAAAATTGTTTTCAGCTTCCCTTTAGTAACTAATTGCTGCATTTCTATTTTGTTCATATTCCTCTTGTTTTGACAGCACTGTCTCTCTCCTCATACATCATCACTTCAGATTTTCCTTTATACAAAACAGTACTTAGTCAGGCAACAGTTGGGTGTCTTTTCAGATAAGCCATCAATCATCACTAACAGCAATTAAGAGCTGTGAGGAACAGAACAAGGAAAAAACATCTGAAGAAAAACAAAAATTAAACCCTTGCTCTTGTTTGTTGAAGTTTCTGACATCTTTTATTTCCCCATTCACATAACAACAAGAGGCACTATTTGTAAAGTGCCCTTTTTACTGACAGGAGCCAGCTGATCTCTGCTGAATAACTTTGTGCAGTAACTTCTATGTACCTCAAAGTACTGCCATTTTCCTAGATACTCACATATTCTATTGTACCTTTTTCACTTTTTTTTCCCACATGCACTAGAAGAACAACATCATGGCTCTGCAAACATACAGCAAACCCCACCTGGAAAAGTCACTGCAATCCCTAACTGGCACACGAAGGTGCTTCCTTCAAGCTCACTGCAGAAGGCTGAAACCTGACTCACCGTTGCCCTGTCTCTGAGCTAAATCTACAGCCTTCCTCTGTGCTGCTTTTCCTGCCTTACTTCAAGGCAAGCAGGCTGAGCAACAGAGACCAAGAGATAACATAAACCACAGAAATTCATTAACGAAAATCAAAAATGAAACTAGCTGATTCTACTTTCAACCCGGCACACACACAGACTTTGTGGTGAACCCAGCCACAAGCCAGGCCCAGACCTAGATATCACTGCACACAAGCCACGGCTCATTAGTGATAAAAGCGCAACAACTTGGCTTAAAAGAGCACTCGAGATAAGAGGCTCCTTCTGTCCTCTAACCACCCTCTGACTGCTCCCTTGGAATATTTCATAAAATCATAGAATCCTTAAGGCAGAAAAAGGCCGCTAAGACCACCTATCCCAGCCAGGCACGTAGCGCCAGCACTGCCCGCTACCCGCGTCCCTCAGTGCCACATCCTCGAGCGCCCGTGGGAGCGATGCCTCCGCCAGCTCCCCGCTTACCGTCCCAGTAACGCCGCGCCAGCCGGCGGGACTTTCCTTACCCTCAACGAAAGAGGGGCAGCGGCGGGCCGGGCGGGGGCCGGCGGGAGCAGCGCGGTGCCCCCAGCCGCAGCGCCGCGCTCTGACTCACGGCTCAGCTCCGCTCCCCGGTAGCTCTCAGGAATGCTTCCAGCGCGAGATCGCCGGACCTGTCAGTTCGCTGCAAGCTGTTTACCTCAGCGCAGCGCTCCGAACGTCCGTAGGTGTGCCGCGAATTACCTGCAATTGCGGAAGCCTTTATTTCGCTCGGTGCCGCAGCTGCTCGGGCACTTCACATAACGCGCTCACTAAGAGAGATCGGGGATTAGAAGAAGAGCTGTTAGGAGTTAAATAGACAGCAGTGACCGAGAAAAGCACTCCCGATAAGGCCGGGGCCCCGCGCTGCCTCGCAGGCTGCGGACGAGGAAGCGGGACGTGAAGCCATGAGCCCATCGCGGGGCACCGTCCCGCCGCCGCCGCCCGCTCACTCTCGCCCGCCCTCCCTCCCGCCGCTCCCCTCACCTGCCTCAGCGCTGCCGGGACCCCTTCGGGGCCAGCACCCGGGCTCAGCGGTGCGGTGCCACAGGAACAGCCGGCCCCAGGCTCCCGGCCCGCAGCTTTAAGGTCCCTCCCCGTTCACCTGCCGCCGCTTTTAGCCCGCCCCGCGCCCGCCTCCACCCGCGCGGGGTTCCTTCGGAGGAGTGCCCGAGGCGGAGCCGGGCCGGGAGCGCCCATCCCCGGCGGGGCCAGGCTGTGCGGGGACAGCAGAGCCCCGATCGGGGGGTCTCGCCCCTCCCCTGAGCCGCCCTTTCCATAGCCGTCCCGCCTAGATGGGCATCGAGGGCAGGGCTGTGAGGACGGGGAGAGGGCAGAGGCAAAGGGCGGGAAGGCAGAGCGAGGCGTGGGGCAGCGGGGGAAAATCCGGCAAAAAAAGGTGCTGGAGAAAACCCGTAGAGAGATAATGGCAAATGTGGGTTTTGTAGGGTAAATGTGCGTGTAAGATAACAGAACCGTATGCTGTCTTGTCAAACCCTGGTATTTGGAAGGGCCTGTTCCTCGTGGAAGTTGTGACTGGCAAATGGTAGCAGAAAAGCCAGTGGTTGCTGGCTTTGTGAGAATGTTCTGAAGGGTCCCTGAAATGCAGCTGCAGCTCCTGGCAACTTGTGCACTCCTACCCCACAGCTCTGTATCCATGCAGGACCCACTCTGCACACTGTTCTGTTTCCAACACAGCTTTGCTGTCATAACCTTGGGGTTCAGAAATCTCTATCTGAAACCTTGATTTTTGCACACGTACATGTCTAATTAGGGAAATGGTTGCTAATTAGAGAAATGGTTGCTAATGCTCTACCCAAATTTCTGGGGAAAACACACAATACAACTGCAGCAGCACATCTCAGGGTTGGACATGTGTTCACACTCACTGAGGGCACAGAGTGATGGATCAGGTGACAAAGCCTTTCCAGCTAAATTCTTCTGCCCCTTATCTCTACTTTCCGGAATAAAAACAGTTCCAGTGAAAATCTTTGGCAGAAGTCAATGGCTCATTTCATTGTTTAGCACAAGCAATTCAATCCTTGCATATGATAGATAAGAAATTGCTGCCAGCTCTGGTTTAAGTACTACCTTCCATCTCCATGGCACTCATCATCTACCACTCCTCACGGAGCTCCCTGCAGCCTGCACTTTGCACCACAGGCATGTTCATGTCAGGGAGATCTCTGGATGTCTCCAGCCTGATCCATTCCAAGTAGGGCCTGTGCTCCTTTCAGACTGCTCAGCACCCACACTCCATCCATGTGAGTTTCAGACAGAGCCAGGTCAGTGCACAGCTGCAGGCCCAAGTTGTTCGATGCTGAGCCAGACGGGCAGTAAATACCTGAGGCCTGAGTCTTCCTGGCTCACTGACTTCCGTGGGAGTTGCACTGAGGTGTGTTCAGGGTTCATGCGCACAGCACAGTGCGTTTCAGGAAGGGAGGCGGCTTGGGGCCATGTGGCCATGCTTTGCTAAAGGGAGCCCTCCCTATGGAAGAAGAGCTTTGGAGAGACATCAGGCACTTGTGAGTCGCTCCCTTACCAGCTACGTTCCAGCTCAACTCAGTGACTTTGAAAAAGCCATATGTGCCCTTTATGTCATTCCCAGCTAAAAAGCTTCCAGCTAAACACTGGGTATATTAAGCCGCAGAGAGGATTTTGAGTTTGCGCTGTTTGCAAGTCTGCATTTGCTGCCAAAAAAAGTTTTTTTATAGAGAGAGAAGTATGATGAGGAACTTGAAGAGTCAAGACTGTGTTTCTTACTGTGCAGTTACCTGCAGGAGAAGAGCCGTGAGCAGGGCAGAGCAGACCTGTCCTGGCTGCCTCCAAGGGAGTGCTGCCCTCCAATGCCAACACCTGGCCTTGATTCCAGAGCAGAAACCCACAGCTCTGGCAGGAAAAGCCAAAAAGACAACTTACTCGATGTTCTGCATTTTCAAAAGGAGACGTTACTAAAGTGGTACTGTGGTTGGAACCACAGTGGGAAGCAGCATGTGCATAGGTGCCTGGGGAGCCAGGCTTTGCTCCACCAGGCCTTTTTTCATCTTCTCACGTGCTTACTCACAGTGCCAGATGCTGCCTCTCCAATCTGGTGGTGCCAACATGCTGTTTGATTGTAAGTAATGATGCTGGGGCTGAGAGATGTGTGCAAGAGTGTTGGAATTTAAGGAATACTGAAAGGGTTTCCTAGTTACAATCTTAACATTTTCTCTTTAATTATGAGGAAAAGTTTAAATATATTTAGTAATTGTTACTAGAATTAATAAGAATTAAATTGTATTTGTCTCCTCACATATGAGGAATGTTTTAGAAGAAGCATGGCTTGATAAACCTGTGACATAAATACATATATATTCACTGCTTAATCTTTAAGTTAAAAAGAGAGAAGGAAGGGAGGAAAAGAGATAGAAATCATGTATTATTGACATGTAATCAAAGAGGAAAAATAAAATTCAGGGCTCAGAAATTCCATGCCAAAGGAGAAAAAAATTCACCAGGATATTTCTTTTCTGTTTCCCCAGGCAGATTGCTGTTCAAAAATTGAGATGAGCACTGGAAGCGGGAGTTTTTTCTACCTCCAGCTTTCTGTTTTTCCTCCGAGCCTTCACATCTCCAGTTACACTCCTGCAGCTTCCTGATTGTTATAGCCATTCAGAGAGAGGGTGAAACAGAATTAACTCTGGTGCTTCAGTGTGAAAGTGTTGTGCAGGTCCACCTCAGAGTGAATGCTCTGCTGTGGCACATTTTATTAGGAAACAACAGGCTGATAACATATATGATGTCTTGAATCCAGCACTTTCCCTGCTGTACACTGCTCAGGAATCTGTTCTTTTTTACCATTTATTTTCAGTTCAGTTTCATTTACTGGCATACATTCACATAGGGATTATGTTAGCTCTGACTTACATAGACTCTGGAAATCCCAAGTCCTCATCTATTCAGAAATTAAACCCGAAGAGTCACTTCCTTTCTAATGTAATTACTTTAGTGACACTGTACTATCATAAAGGTTGCCCATATTATATAGTTGTTCATTAAACCATTGCAGCTCCTCAAGCATTTGTACTGTACAAGTGCCTATGTACTTCTCCTACCAGCACGTATCTCACGCGTACTTCTTCAGAGCCATTGGAATTACACTCTCTTTGAATAAAGGTGCAAATGACCATCATTCATATCTTTTTGTCCTCTGATTTTTCTCATCGGTGAGACCTTCCCTTTTTTATTTTCACTTAACCAATATTCATGGAGTATCCCAAGACACACACTGGACAATGTGCTTTCTTGTAAGGTAACTCAGTGAACTCAGTGATGTTCTCTGCTTGTACAGATAGGAGGCACAGAAAAGGCAGAAGAACAACACTCCAAACCTGAATGATAAGGGAGACCAGTGAAAGGGGATGAAAACAGTTCCTAGTGCTGCCAGTACGTGAACAGCCTGACTGAAGACAACCCGCATCATTTGTACCTCAAAATGGATAAGCACAGCTGTTCTAGTACAAATGCACTAATAGCCATCCTCATCTGGAAAGTGGACCTGGGTAGGGCAGCCTAAATCACCTGTAGACACCCACCTCTTAGCTGATTCCTTAAGCTGACAGCTCCGGATATCAGCATCACCCAGATTTGAAAGGCAGGGCTTTCTCCATCCTTAGCAGCCCAGTAATTTTCTCAAAGCTATTGCTAATTTGGAAGCTGACAGCTTCTATCTCCCCACCTGTTTGGTTTATTACAAATGTTTCATCAGACCAGCTTTACACTGCTGTGTCCTTCACTCACTCTGGGCTGTCAGAGGATGAGGAGGGCTGTCAGCCATGATGCTCAGTCACTGCTGTGATGTTTCTCCTGGAGCAGGCACTGCAGTCAGTTCCCCTGCTCCCATGGCTGCTTGCCCTGGCTCCGGATGTACGATGGTGCTTCCAGCTGATTTAATCAGTTTGTTGTTCTCTGCTTTGATGTAATAAGTTCATTGTTCCCCAGTTCAACTTAATTGAGTCATTGTTACCCGATTGCTGCCTGACTTGATTTAATTAATTACCACCTCACTTGCTGAATAAGCAAACTCCTGCTGCTGGCTGCCAGTACAGCTCACTGCTCATAGCCCATACTATCTGCCCCCTCCCCTACACCAGCGCAGTCTTCTCCCAGGACCTGATCCCTAGCCCCAGCCTCTGTTCCCTTCCTGCTTCTCCATTTTCTCCCTGTAGCTTTTCCTCAGCCCAATGAGGTCATCCTGTAATCCTCTCCTTCCTTCTCCTCTGTTTTTTCCTGGCTTTTGCTCTGGACCTGCCTCCAGCCTTCCTCCTCTTTCCACTGTCCCACAGAAATCTTCTCTGTTGCACTGAATCATAGGTTGGACAAGTCCTTTAAGATCATCTAGTCCAACTGTCCACCTACCACCAATATTGCCCACTAAATCATGTCTCTAAGTATTACACCTACCATTTCCTTAAATGCTTCTAGGGACAGTTCTCCACCACCTCCCTGTGCAGCCTGTGCCAATGCCTGATCACTTTCTACTCATTCCTGTTCCAGGTCTTCCCCAAAGACTTTGCATTTTCTTGCTTGATGCTTCATAGGAACGAGGATAGGATGCTTCATAAGCCTTCCAGTACTTGAAGGGAGCATATAGACAGGAAGGGGAACGGCTGTTTACGAGGGTGGATAGTGATAGGACAAGGGGGAATGGTCTTAAACTGAGATGGGGGAGGCTTAGGTTAGATATTAGGAGGAAGTTTTTCACTCAGGGGGTGGTGACACGCTGGAACAGGTTGCCCAAGGAGGTTGTGAATGCCTGGAGACATTCAAGGCCAGGCTGGATGTGGCTCTGGCAGCCTGGTCTGGTGGTTGGCGACCCTGCACATAGGAGGGGGGTTGAAATCAGATGATCATTGTGCTCTTTTTCAGCCCATGCCATTTTATGATTCTATGATTCTATGGTTGCCCTTTCTATAATAGACTTCTATTTTTTTTTAATCCTTTTCTGCCTAGCATTCTTACTCAGACAGCAGCACTTGTCCAGGGCTCTCCTTTTCCTTCACTTCCAGCAGCTGCCAGTACCCAACTTTCCCTTCCTTTAAGGTATCTCACAGAAGCCTCTCCTCTTGCTGCCAGCTTCCTGGCAACATTTTTTTTCTTTCTTCACTGCCCTGGGTTTATTCACTTCTTTTGAGATTTCTATGTCCAGTGTAATTGCTCCTTATTTCTGTTACCTATTCCACCACTCTTTAGTTTTCACCTAATGTGTCCTTCTGATGTTGGTTCAGGTTCTCATTGACCCTCCACTCTCCGGCCCTCAGTCCATTCTGCAGTCTCCCCTGATCTACTTATCTTATCCCTCCGTGTGCCCCTCTGTGACCAGTCAGCAGAAAAATGAGGTATAGGTATTTCTTGCCCTCTTTTGTCCTCTATTCTACTCCACTCTCCATCTGACATCCATGCAAGAAGTAGACACGCTTTTGCAAGTGGAGCTGCTTTTTTCAGAATAGGTGTGTCCAGCTGTAAGTCTGGTTTATAGCAATGACCAGGGTGAGTCCAGGCTTCCTCTTGGCCACCACAATTCAGTATGGGCAGGTAAAGTCAGTTTTGCCCATGCTGTCAGACCAGTACACACAATTCTGTGTGAGCACACATTCTTCTTGGCTTTGCACTGACCAGCCCCTCTGAGCCACATCACCCTTCCCAGTCTGTGCTCACTCTTTGTATTTACCCATCTTCTCTTTTTTCTTTTCCCTCTTAAGTGCCTTGGAAGAAAGTCCAGGAGGGACTGCTTGGCTGTACCAGAACTTGGCTGTATCCCATCTCTCAGTGACAAAACTGCTTCTGTATTACCAGGAACAGATTTGGGATGGGTTGCCCATCCTTCTTCTGGCTTTCTCCTTTCATTAATGTGCCAATGTTTTCTTCAAGAAAGAAACTCATTGTCTACAAACGTATATCTCCAGCTTGTTCATCTAACACTTCCCTCTAGCCTGCAGGAGTTTTTTACTCATCCTATACCACGTGGATGACGTTCTTCAGTTTCCATTGCAGAGAAATAACCTGTCTCTGCATTGCTTTGCACGTGTGCCAAAGCCATTGCATTCCTAGGCTTTTGTTCTGAGCCTTCAGACTTTTAGATGCTGGATCCCTTGATGTCATATAGCCAGGAACCTTCAAGGAAGCTCTGGGACAGCTGGGTCTTTGGCAAATCAACCACTCAAGTTTTGTTTTCAGCAGAAGAATACATCTCTTTGTTTCTTTCAGATACAAATTCATTCTATTTTTTTTCTTGCGGGCTCATACAGATGAGTGACTCTCTAAGAGAGAACCCAGCATGGTAGACCAGGTAGGACATACAACTTCTTTGTACCCTTGTTAATGCAACTCACCCACATCCCTGCTGCTCTAACATTAATTCTCTCCCCTACATAAGTGATCCCCTTTGAATTCATCTTTGCAGGTCCTCCTGTTTTGGACTTCAGCACATTTAATTGGTTTACAAAGGTCATCTGGCTTGCCAGAATATACAGACACTGACAATCCTTCTCCCATTACTAGCATATATAGGTATGATCCAGCCCTCATAAAAGCTACTGCCAAATCAATCACAAAATGTTATGAGAACAGGACTGGGCACAGACACTTAATTTCATTCTTCATGATGATAATTAAAATAACATTAAAATGAGCTCTGAAGTTAGCGGGTGTCAGATTCTTCTTGACATATTCCAAACTGGAAAGGCATCTTTCTTGGAGTGGTTCCATTAAAAAGTCATCACGTCACAGAGCAGAAACATGTAAAAGACAGAAGTTCTAGGCTTTTCAAGTGTGGCACACACATTAAGAAAGAAGGAGATGGGGACAACTGCCCTTGAGTGTAGAGTTAGTCTTTCCACTTGTATTCCCAAAGCACTCCTGTGGCAAGAACAACAGCTGCAGAGACAGCAGCATAAACAAAGTATTTATGGCCATCCACCTTTATTTAGTATGAGGCATTTTGTCCTTTTCTAAAATGCTAACAGCAGCCTAAAGTTGTTCCCTTCCTCAGCCCCACCCTACACTTCAGAGACTTCTGTGGTTTGGGAAAACACTGATATGAAGCACTAAATGTTTCCTTCAGAAATGATAGATGAAGATAATCTGCAA